TTTTTTTTTTTTTTTTTTTGATTTAGTCTTCAGAAAGGGTTTTAATTTTACTAGATATAGCAGATATATCCTGGCTGCCGCTTGTTTTAGTCCTTGAAAAAGGCATTTAAGATGTTGCTCTGTCAATTTTCCTCTGCTCTCAGAGGGTTATAATGCCACGCTTCCTTATCTTATAAAAGACTGCCCTCTGCTTTAGCTTTTCTCCTGCTGTCAAGTAAGGATTTTGTTCAACCTAATCTGCAGCTCCCCTTTTACCACTAGCTAAAGGACTGCAGTCCAAATGTTTCTGGATGTTGGCAACCAGTTTTCATATCTAACTGTTATGCTGTAACCAGCAGATAAATTATATGGCAATTTTGACTTTCATGTCATATTAGGTTCTGCATAAAAATCTTAGAAGTAAATAAAAAGATGCCATTACAATCAAGCAAATTTATGGGAAGCAAATCCATTTTGTTTTAGAGTGAATTGCATTTCATTAGCACAATAAATATTTATAAAGAGCTTTAATGGAGTTAAGAGTCAGGGTTAAATGACATTTTCTTGTCTCCTGTCATTTCATCCTTCTTTGCTTCTAAAAATCTAGATTTTTTCCTAACGTTAAATTGTGTTTAGAGTGTCCAGTCTAAGTTGAGATTTGCATTACGATTGAGAAATGTCAAATATAACCTTTAAAAAGGCATAAAAAGATACATTTTTACTTCTACTCAGTCTTCCAAAATTGAGTCCTTTTAGTATGCTTTAAAATCTCATTCTCAGGGTTAGGAAAGGTATGTTCAGTAAACATTTTAGTTAAAACTGTTCCCAAACATGAGTACAGTGTTTCAGAGGAGGAAAATGAATCCTTCCCTACCCACATGTATTTAGCTAATGCATTTCCCAATGTGTCTGTTGTGCAGATACTTTATGCCACCACCAAAATTATTATCAAGTGAAAAACAATGTTTAACATGGACTTTGGATATAATACATGTGCTGAGTACTCCAATAATGGCATCACAATGATGTGAACATATAAACATAATATCTACGTTGAAAAAATGTACCCCAACTAAAGATTCACTTACAAATGATTGTTTTGGTTGTAGCAGAAATGTCGCTTCTATTTACTTTTAATTTTACTTGAAAGCAAGAGAACATTAGGTAATTATTAATTCACTCACAAGTGAAAACTGATAGTACTGATGGGAATGTGGATTTTTTTTATTGACTTGAGTTCTGTTGAAATTTCACATGTGCCCCTGAAGGACATTCTCATATTACATGGAGAGACATAGTTGTGTTAGTCTGAAGTCAGGCAAAAAGTGGGTTAGAGTAGCACCCTATATCACATGAAAGAAATAGCTTCTCAGTTCTGCTATATAATGACCAAAACATTCAAATCGGCGTTTTCCTTTATACAATTTTTGTTTCCTCCACCCCTTTTATATAATGCATTTAGTATATACCAGGAAACTCTTTTCCAAGTTCTTTATTAAAATAGTTAACATCAATTTAGTAATTAATGTAAAGTAGTAAAAATTTACAGCAATTTAAGTGAGATTTTTGGATTTTGGGTACCATATACATTTCATAGATTTCATAGACATTTGGGCTGGAAGGGACCCCAGAGGATCATCAAGTCCAGCCCCCTGTCCTGGGGGCAGGAAGTCAGCAGGGATCATAGGATCCCAGAAAGATAAGCATCCAAATGTGTCTTGAAGGCGTTCAAAGTGGGTGCTTGAACCGCCTCTGGCAGTAGTCTATTCCAAACCTTGGGAGGTCAGACAGCGAAGAAGTTCTTTCTTATGTCCAGCCTGAATCGGTCACAGTGGAGTTTGTGACCATTCGATCTTGTCATCCCTTGGGGTGCTCTGGTGAACAGACGTTCCCCCAGATCCTGATGAGCACCCCTGATAAACTTATAGGTGGCCACCAGATCACCCCTGAGCCTGCGCTTTTCCAGGCTGAAGAGCTCCATTGCTCTCAGCCTGTCATCATAAGGTCTGTTTTCCTGACTTCTGATCATGCACGTGGCTCTCCCCTGCACCCTCTCAAGCTTCTCCACATTCCTTTTGAATTGTGGAGCCCAAAACTGGACGCAGTACTCCAGCTGCGGCCTCACCAAGGCCAAGTACAGTGGGAGAATGATGTCCCGGGATTTGCTTGAGAAGCATCTGTGGATGCAAGCCAGCGTTTTGCTCACCTTACTAGCCGCAGCATCACACTGAAGGCTCATGTTCATCTTGTGGTCAAGCATGACCCCCAAGTCCCTTTCATCTGTAGTGCTAACCAGCATAGCACTACCGAGCCTATAAGCATGATGCAGGTTTTTCCTCTCAAGGTGGAGAACCTTGCATTTTTCGGTGTTGAACACCATCAGGTTCTCGTCCGCCCGTTCCATGTGTCTGTCCAGATCCACCTGGATCACCCTCCTGTCCTCAGGTGTGAATGCTTTACCCCAGAGTTTAGAGTCATTGGCGAACTTGGCCAGTCCACTTCTGACACCAGTGTCCACATCATTGATGAAGATGTTAAACAGTATAGGCCCTAGGACAGAGCCTTGCGGGACCCCACTGGTCACAGTGCAACAAGACAATTGGCTCCTGTTGACCATCACCCTCTGGGTCCTACCGCAGAGCCAGTTCCCCAGCCAGCAGATTGCGGTGATATCAAGGCCACAATTAGCCAGAATTGCCTAGAGGTGATCGCGGGATACCAGATCGAAGGCTTTTTTGAAGTCGAGGTATATAACGTCGATCTCTTCCCCCTTGTCCAGGTGATAGGTCACCTGGGCATAAAAGGAAATGAGATTAGTCAAGCAAGACCTACCCACCACAAACCCATGCTGGGTATCCCTCAGGATATTGCCTTCAGCTAGTCTGCCTTCAGCTACATAGATGTGTGGGAAGTGCTTTGTTTGATTTTCCACCCCCACCCCCCAAGAAAAAGCAGTTTTAACCTTAATTTTGCCCCTTTTTATAGTCTTTCCATAACTACTGTAAATACATCAAGCTCTAAGGGTCATTATTGCTTGTTTACAGGTATTCCGTTTCCCAGCCCTAATTGCCAGTGCCTGTTTCTAAAACTTAGAAATGTTGTTTCAGAAGTTTTACAAACACAAAGAATGTTTGAAAGATTTTCATGCTGAGACTTTTCATCTCTCCCTTCTTTTGAAGCCTTTTCCTTGAAATCAATCATCCCTTTGTTTCTAGGAATCTTAAGTTGTTTTTTTAATTCTCTTCTCCTGTGTGATAAGTAGAGCCACTGTGCCAAACTACTTCTGTAAGAATACAAAAGCATCTACTCCAATCAGAAGTTATTAGTATATTGAGAGTGGCATAACTAATTAATTAACTGGCAATTAAATTTGACTTTCTTTACAGATCAAAGACCAAGCTCACCAGTCCGGCACCAAGGAAGAAGTGATGACATTGAACGTGATGATAGGAGAGAGGAGCGAAGGGTAGACCGGACTGATGATAGGAGAGATGAAAGGGCAAGGGAACGAGAGCGAGAGAGAGAGAGGGATCGGGAGAGGGAAAGAGAAAGAGACCGGGAGCGGGAGAGAGAAAAGGAAAGAGAATTAGAACGAGATCGTGCCCGGGAAAGGGAGAGAGAGCGTGAGCGGGACAAAGACAGAGAACGTGAACGTGACCGTGACAGAGATCGAGACCATGACAGAGAAAGGGAACGAGAAAGAGAAAGGGAGCGAGAAAAAGAACGGGAGCGCGAGAGGGAAGAACGGGAAAGGGAGCGAGAAAGAGAGAGAGAAAGAGAGCGAGAACGGGAGAGAGGCCGGGACAGGGATAAGGAAAGAGAACGTCAGAGAGACTGGGAGGACAAAGAAAAAGCAAGGGAAGACCGCAGGGATAAAAGAGAGGATGTCCGAGAAGAGAGAGGTACAAGGGATGTCCACGAAGAGAGGAAATCTAAGTAAGTGATGCTGAAGGTGACTTTTCCTAGCAAAAATATAAAATGTACCATTCCCTAAACATTTCATTATACAGCAGTCTTTCATTATTGTACCTTAGCCAGACCCTTTATGTACAAATAGCATATGCCTGCTACTAATTGTTTCTGGGAAACCATGCGGGGGCAGAGCCTCCTGGTAGAATTAGTTTCTGTCATTTGGATTCAGATTCTTTCAGGTTGTGTCGAGGTGTTCATTTTAATGGGATAAGGGTTGAAATTTTTAGTAGTGACAGAATAAGAGTATATTCTTTGTAAAGGTGAAGTATTTAGTCTTTTTGAAAATTCAAGGTGTTGGGTGTTCTTCAGGTATCTTAGAAACCAGGCACTGAGCACCAAGTTCTGTATTGTGAAGACACCTTTGGCACTGTCTAGTTTTGTTTCAGTGAAACAACAATATGCAGACTCTCTCCATTCTAAGAAGACTGGAGTGAAGAACAAAAGTCTGGTAGTCAGGGGAATCCTTATTAACACCATTACTTCAATTTCAACCAAGGCACTTATTTCAAGGTCATTTCTCTATTGCTGTTGGTTGCTTTATGAGGAGGGAAAACAAGGCGCAATAACTTTTTTTTAATACCAGAATTCTCACTGCTATCAGGCACCCAGACAATTGAATACAGCTGTAGCTGAACTAATTACCATGGGTGCTACCATTGCTGGCTACTTTTCTGGCATATATACCCTTCACTGCTAATCAGTAGGACTCCTAGTCTCTCTAGCTGGTGTGGGATGAATGGCTTAAAAAACTAAACATCATCCCCTAAGCAATACTTAAGCACATGAATTGCTGCTGTCTATGCAATGGTGATTTTAATGTATATTTTATTCATGTTGTTCAAAGTTGGGATGTCCAAATTCTGAGCATCTGGGGGCAGGCCCCAGGTCAAACACCCTGGGGGCCTCCCACCGCATGGTCAGCATGAGCTCCCTCCCCACCCCCCAAGCATAGGCAGTGGGTTCACTGAGCCCTCTCCTGCTGTGCTGTCCTGCCCCAGAGACCCTGGTTGTGGGGGAGGAGCAGCAAGGAGGGAACCTGGGGGCTCCACATTAACCTCTCACAAGTCAGATGCAGCCCATGGGCTGCCAGTTGGACAGCCCTAAATTAAGATTTCTTTTGTATTTTAATGTACATGTGAAAGCTGATTATACTTGAAGCTTTGTGGCTAATGACCTAGAAGATCACAAACATGAAGCATCTTTGGCATTTTGAATGAAGTGCTGATAGTCCTAGGTTTCACTCTCTTGATGTTTACATGGGAAATAAACTCAGCTGTTGAGTTTTTTTAAAAAGCAATTTGTAAAGTGTTTGGTTGCATTTACAATATAGGAAGCGTCACAGAAATGAAAGTAGCCCAAGTCCTCGTCAGTCACCCAAACGCCGCCGTGAACATTCTCCTGATAGCGATGCCTACAACAGTGGAGATGATAAAAGTAAGTAAACGTGGGTTATTGTTCCTTCAATATACAGGCTAACTTGTGTTTATGAAAAAGATTCTTTGCAATAGAAAATGATGGATTAAGCTTTTAAAAGCATCTTCTCAGTTTTTCTATGCAAGGTTATTTTTCTTGCAGAGTGTTTGGACTGTGCATTGATATTTATTTACATGCCCATTTTAGCATAATGTATTAATATTGTCAGGGGGCAATAGCCCCAACATCTGTCTTTAAATTCCATGTTTATCAAAAATGAAATAAAATCCATTGTTACTATAGCTGTAAGCGTGAAGCATGTTAACTGGGAAGGCTGGCTTTTTTGATTGATGCTTTCTCTTGATATGTGCAGAATGTTCAAAATTCCCTATTCCCTTTCATGGACAAGAAAAATACTTACATTTTGTAGATGAGAAGCACAGACTGCTGAGCCAGGTGGTACGACCACAAGAATCCCGATCACTGAGCCCCTCTCACCTTACAGAAGACAGACAGAGTCGGTGGAAAGAAGAAGAAAGAAAGTCTGAGAGAAAAGAAAGTTCCCGACGTTATGAAGAACCGGAGTTTAAAGAGAGAGTTTCTTCAGGAGACAAACAGAGAGAGCAAAGAGAGCAAACAGAAGTCACAGAAAGTTCAAGGGCCAGGGTCCAAGAAAACTTAGGACATCGCCCTTCTGAAGAACGAGATGCATCTGACCGAATGCATGAAGAGAACAAAAAGAAGTCTAAAGTACAGAAGAAGACCACAAAGAAAAAGAAAGATGATGATAATGGTGTGGAAAGGTACAGTGAGCCAACAGCAGAGGAAAGCCAGGTCTTTTCACCCAAGAAGGGTCAAAAGAAGAAAAATGTTGAGAAAAAGCGGAAGAGGTCCAAAGGTGATTCTGACGTGTCTGATGAAGACAGTGTTCCATACCATAAGAAGAAAAAAGGTCCAAGAACACCCCCTGTAACAACAAAAGAGGAAATGGCTGAAGCAGCTCCTGAGAAAGCTGTAACAGGAGAAACTGCCCCAAAAAGAGAAGAGACAACATTTAGCGATTGGTCTGATGAAGATGTTCCAGAACGTGGTGAAATCATTGTTCCTGAAAGAAGCACTGAGGAATTGCACAGAAAAAGCCACAGAATAAGAGGAGAAAAGGTAGAAACTCCTCATGTTACCATAGAAGATGCACCTCACCGCAAGCCTGTGGATCAGAAACGCAGCAGTAGTCTTGGTAGCAATCGGAGCCATACCTCAAGTAGACTGCGATCACCATCCAATGAATCTGCTCATCGCAGTGGAGATGACCAGACAGGGCGGAAAAGGGTCCTACATAGCAACTCTCGGGACAGGGACAGAGAGAGAGAGAAAAAAAGCTTAGAAATCACTGGGGAACGAAAGTCCAGGATTGATCAGTTGAAACGAGGGGAACCCAGTCGCAGCACATCTTCAGGTAATAGAATATAGTCGGAATGTGATTGACGTATCATGTGTCATGAAAAATGAGACACTACCTCTTCCAAATTATTATAAACCCTTTTTAAACCCTTTAAACCCTTTTTTTCCACCAGAGACTAAAGGAAGGCACTTCTGTATCTATAGTAAAATCTGAAGGATTTAATATTCCTGCAAATAATGACATTAGAAAGCTCATGTCCTCAGTGGACATATATTATACCTTTGCGGATACCTGAATATCAGCAGGAAATAACTATTTATGGTGCTGGGGGAGAGGGGGCAGGCTGTAGAACACACACATGGCTCTAATTAAACTTGTAAATTTAGAAAGGTTTTTATGCTAACAGTGTTCAGAGGTAGTTTTATGATAAACTCTTTTCAAATTAGACAAATTGAAATTAATTTTGGTATTGAAATTTGAAATTATGTGCATGAAGTTAAAATGTACATGCCTTCTCTCCAGTTCAGTGTTTATTGCAAAAAACTTGCACGGAAGTCAATAGGCTTTGTGGTTCTTGGTGGATAAACTTTAATACAGGACATGTGGATGTGGGATCCGCATCAGATTTTGTCGCACCTTATTGCTGGTGTAGGGGCACCCCAGGATTTTGATCCCAGGCTCCCCCTACACTAGCTCCTGCTCTTAATGAGACTCCTGTCTGTAGCAGCCCATGGGATGGTGCCATGACTGGGAGTTCCCTCAGCTGACTTGGCTCCCAGCTGTGGGGGCACAGCAATGCTACACATGCAAATTAATGCTGGATAGAAAACAGCTATAAAGTTAGTATGTATTTTCCATCTCTAACTTTATAGCTCGATGGATCTTTTTTAGAGGTGCACTGATAGAGATTTTTGGGGCTGATACTGATGGCCTATTTTTAAGGACGCCTAATATAGGCTGATACTGATCTGATTTCTGATACCAGCCCGGCAGCTTGGAGAACTTGATGCAGCCCCAGCCCCACGCAGATCTGGGGGCACACCTTCTCCCCCACCCCCATGCCTTCCTGGACAAGCAGCAGGAGCCAGCAAGTGAGCACCTGACGAGCCATCTGGCCAGCAGCTCCCACACAAGTGGCACGCAGCAGCAGGAGCCGCCCCTGTGCCCCCTGGATGAGCCATGGCTCTGTCCCAGGCCTGCCCCACCCTGGCAGGGCAGCGCTTTCCTCAGCCCCTGCCCCAGGCTCCACTCCTCCCTCACTGCGGGGGCCTTGATGTGCCCCCCATGCCCGTTCCCTTCCCACTCCCCTTCCACCACACCAGCGGCACTGTGGCTGCGCACATGCATGGGCCATTTGTCGACCAAATTATTGGCCATATCAGGCAGATTTCCAATACAGACAATTTTCTTTGTAGCAGCGCCAACCCGATATCGGATCGATGTAATCAGCGCACCTCTAATCTTTTTATGGCATGATAATTAGTTTCATAGTTTCTAGGGTCGGAAGGGACCTGAGCAGATCATCTAGTCCGACCCCCTGCCATGGCAGGAAAGAGTACTGGGGTCAAACAACCCCAGCAAGGTGTACATCTAGCCTCCTCTTAAAGACCCCCAGGGTAGGAGCCTGCACCACCTCTCTTGGAAGTTGGTTCCAGACCCTAGCTGCCCTGACCGTGAAATAGCGCCTCCTGATGTCTAACCTAAACCTACCCACTGCCAGCTTGTGACCGTTATTCCTGGTCATTCCTGGCGGTGCTCGAGGGAACAGTGACTCCCCCAATGCCTGCTGATCCCCCCCTGACTAGTTTATAACAGGCCACAAGATCCCCCCTCAGCCTTCTCTTTTGGAGGCTGAACAGGTTCAGGTCCCATAGCCTCTCCTCAAAGGGCCTGCCCTGCTGTCGCCTGATCATGTGGGTGGCCCTCCTCTGGACCCTCTCGATGCTGTCCACATCCCTCTTGAAGTGCGGCGCCCAGAACTGGACGCAGTACTCCGACTGCACACATAGCAATTATTAGATGGTCTAAATGAATTGTGCAATTATAACTAGGGCTGTGCAAGGGGATCTGGAGAAGCTTCGGACGCTTTGGGGTCCAAAGCAGCATATCCAGATCAAAGCGCTGCCTTGTTAGGGTTCCTGAAGCGGTTCAGAGCTGCCTTGGAGATCTGGCCATAGGGTATAATGGGGAAACAATAAAATATCTGTAACTTTGTTTTTTGTCCGATTTGGATGAAATTTTCAGGGGTGGTAGATTCTGCAGA